ATATCGTTGTCGACGAGCTTTGACAGGTGCGTCGAGGACCTCTCAGCCGTAAAAATAAATACTTAATGATGTAAGTCGCGTTTAACGCCGATCGTTAATATCGCGAAGGATTTCAACATGTAATTTTCGCCGGGCATTATAATTACGTCAATGTACTTCTCGCCGAGATGTTGTCTTGAGAAACTCTCGACTTTTGAAAAATGCAAAGAGTCATCATCGCCCCCCCCCTCCCCCACTTCCCGGAGACGCATGAAGAACACTCGCGCGAGAAAACACGTTCCCATCTCTCGTCGGTCTTCTTCTCACGTCGGTAATCACGCAACGACGCACCGTGTGCGTGAACATGTGTGCATGTCATGGTATATTTTCCTCGTGCCTTTGGTGCACACACACACACACACGAGGTTTCTACTCTCCCACTCTCATGGGAGTGGCTTTTCGACTTTTTGCACCGTGAAAAACTTCGACACCGGAGATTGAAGGAGCTCTGTGAAGCGACACCGCCGTAACTAACGCCGCATCTCGCTAATAACCGGGAGATAACAAGGAGATTCTGTTTATTCAGCGAACTTCCCCCCCCCCCTCTGACGCGTGGCAATGTGTATGCGTGTATGTGTGCGCTCTTCTGCGAGGTGCGTGTCAGCGCGCGGAACGATGAAGTCAAACAACGTCGTTTATGCGCGCATCGGGCTTCCCTTTGAAAATCGCTAGCGATCTCTAGAGATCTCTGAAAACGCCCGGGTCATCGTTTCTCTCTTGCGCGGGAATCACGCCTGACTTTCCACCCCCGTCTCCGATATATAAATATTTAAAGATGCAAGGCTTTACGCAAGTCGGCAGCCGTACAAGTCGGCCGTTCGACATCGTTTGCCGCGTTTTTCCTACAGTTTTAACATTTCCGAAGAAATCCGTTTTTTCCCAATTTATCCGCGAATTCTTTTTTAGTTCCTTCTTCACGCAGCGAGAATTTTGCGTCAAAAACGGTCCACTGAAATTTTGTGTTACTTTAAAATGGGGAATGTGCTAAAAGAGACACAGATGTAATGTGAAATTAATACATTCATGTTAAAGTAATACAAAATTTCAATATGGAACATTTCTGACGCAAAATTCGTCTTTCTGTGTGCGGAAGAAACTAGATGCGGCAGATTTTAATTGAACACGTGTGAATTTTTCTAAACGAGTTTCCGTACCCTCGGGACAGAGTCCGAAGAAGAGATCCACGGAAAAATTGGAAAAACTGTTTTTTTTTTTTCCGAAGCTTTAAAACTATGATCCCATCCCGTGGCGGTTACAAAGGCGCCTCTGTTGACCTCGTGCCTTCATTTCTCCCATCTGCGAACGAAATGAATAGACTATATGTATATCGGGCGCTTTCTCATATCGTGAGGATGGTGTGTCTTAAATTAAAAATTTTTTCTCCGAGTTCTCTCTCGCATCGCGGCGATCCATTAAGCGCGGCAGGGGTTAAACGAGCGTCATTCCGCACATACCGCCCTGCCGTCCCGCGCCTTTCTCCGCCTCTTATTGTGTCACTGTGTCTCCGGTGTAAGCTACGCGGAAGTATTCCGCTGGTACACACGCGGCTCAACTTGCGCTCGCTCATGGACACGGACTCCGGGCTCGCGGGAATAGTTAGCCTATATTACAGTTAGCGTGCGGTGCAACGACCAGTCCGCTAAATGTGCGGCTCCGGAGTGGTGTTGAGCACGCCGCCAACGCCAACCGCACATGTCCCGGGGGATCCCGTCGTTGATGTCTCCAAGTAATTTCCGCTAACGAGGAAACCATTCCGAACGGAAAGTCGAGTTTTCGCGGGGGGACGCGTTCGCGACGGACATTGATATTCCGGCCGGCGGGATGTTATTTTAATTGAATCTTTCATCGTCGTGCGCCGCGCGGACAGATATTTAATGAGCACACTGATGGATTCCCTTTTTACAACTATGATTTCTCTCCCTCTATCATTCTCTCTCTCTCTCTCTCTTTCTCCCTTCCTCTCTCCTTGCTGCAGTGTCCTTTTCCAACTTTAAGTCTTAAAATCTTTAAATCCGCGCGCGCTCTCGCGTCTCTCGCATTACTCCAGCCGGGGTTCTGGAAATTCCGGAATTCCTGTCGCCTAGGAGACGAGAAGTGGGTGATTGACTGATAGCGAGCCCCCGCGCGAATTCGCGCACAGATAAGCGTCTCCTCTCCCTGTCCGAGCGAGATCACAATTTCAGGATCCGGGATCGTCGATCGACCCGAAATGGGTCGCGCGTTTATTTACGCAAAATAACGAAGGTTACGTCATCGGGCGAAACTGCGGGCGTGTTCAAGGTTACGAGCTTTTTGGACGACCTATCTCAGCCCGTAAAAGCGAAATTGCAAACCGCAGGCCGCGCGCGCTGACCAACAACCGGTCGGGCACATCAGGTACACACGCTGCGCTGGTCGGCTAGTCGATAAGCCGGCCGGCCACTGCAATCTGCGTGGGTGATCGTACCAAACTCCAAAAGTGCCGTGTCGATACACAGAGAGAGAGAGAGAGAGAGAGAGAAAAAGCATCGCTAAAAGCCGGCCACGGGCTTGGGGTCGCGTTGAGCTGACCTCGAGTACACGGCGAACTGTTCTCGACTAATTTCGAGTATTATACGAGGCCGAAAGCTCGACGGAGAAACACCGAGAGTCCGGGGGCTAGATTAACGTGATTCGAAATTTTCATCGTGCATACGCACATCGGGCTTGACGTTTCACAGAGCTGCCGCCATCCCCGCCGCGGGGGTTGAGCCCCACGGCAGGGTTTCCAAATCGCTTCCGTGCATAACACGGAGCGCCGTGATCTGTCCCTGATACAGCGACGTGGATCAATGAAATGCAAAGCACCGGCGTCGCGACGCCCCCCCCCCCTCTCTCTCTGTTCCCGTCCCTCTCTTCCGGATGACCGGCGTCGCGAGTCGCAATTTGCGAACGTAAACGAAATTATCGGCCGAATGGCGAGCGCGCTCGTTCGCCCGCCCTTTCCCGCCGACTCGCCGTGGACGGATAATTGCGTTAGCTCGCATTTTCGGGACGTATCGCTCCGCGATAATGATAGTAATGACAGTAACAGTCAGCGCCACTCGCGCATAGGTAATACTCCCCCCCCCCCTATCCTCCTCCTCCCTCCGTAGTCGATAATGCGCGACGACGAGTCGCGCAGCGCGATTGTCGCCGCTCGAATGTGTGTGTGTGTGTGTGCAATCGGTTTCCGTTTTAATCGCGTGTTTTCGGAGTCGCGTCATAATCCAAAGCCGTCACATACGCGGTCTACGCGTCCGGATAGACCCCTGGAGGGCGTCTCCCTCAGCAAAAGGACAGACGGTATTAACGAAATTAATATACTCAGCCGATACTCGCGCATGGCGGATAACTGTTACCCCCCTCCTCTTCACACACACATCCTATATCAACCTACGACGCGTTAACGTACCGAGGATCGCCCGCAATTATCGGACATTATCGAGTGATATAATTAGTCAGTCGGGTATTATGGAGCGACGTAATTACGCCGCTCCACCCTCTTCGCCGCGCGGACTTCCTGCCCGCGCCAGATAGTTGCTCCGTTGGAACTCTCGTAAACGCGCGCCCTCCGGAAATCTTGGTTCTCTCCCGATCACGAAAGCCGATCGATTTGTTTGCCGACGCGAGGCGGTCTATTTTTTCCTCTCTTGTGAGAGAGAGAGAGAGAGAGCGAAATGTCCAGGTGGCTTTCCAAACACACCCCGTTTAACTGGGAACGAGCGCATAGCGAGGAGCCGTGATGAGGACTGAAGTCGCTAAAGTGTTGTTAGAGAGAATGAGAAAGGGAGGAGGCAGAAGCACCGTGGATTCTCGCGCGTCGCAGGACGCGTAATAACAGCGGAGATGAACCTGAAATGTGCAAAGGGCACGTTTTTATCCACAGGCGCAGGCCCCGTGTAACATGTCGATTACCACGTCACCCGGATATGCGTGTGACGGTTTTACTTGATGAAGAAGGATTTCATCAAGTTTTTAAAAAGATGCTTGAGGGATGTATCAGTGGTGCATCGAGGGAACCACTCATAAATTTAGTATTTATCAAAATTACGTTTCTGTTCTTAGTCTGCACACCGGTCTTCAATATTATACTAGTTTTTCATCAAAATCTTACTTTTAGTTTAGAAGATACTAAAAATAGGAATTAAAAATGCTAATCTCACAGATATCTTATATAATTATAATTATTTTTTGAGTTATGGCAATACATCCTTGATAGTACGAAGCGTCGCGCAAAGGATCACGTGAATATAAATTTTGGCCCCGCGGGACTCACATCCAATTTTAGCGCGACAGTCGACGTGTTAATAAAAGTGTTCTCTATTTACTTGACACCGGCCGGAGCGAAACGTCCTCATTACGAGGATTTCGCTCTGCGAAAACGTTGACGCGCTCGAGAACGATCGGAGGGACAGGATCGGTCCGTTGTTATCGAGTCGCTAAACGAGTTGGTTTATGTCGTTAACGCGTACCCACCGAGTCAGCGAGTTCCCGTTACGTTACGTTACGTTTCCGTCCTCGAAATAACGAAGTGGTCCGCGAGCGGCTCGTGAAAAACATGCACACGTGGAGGATGTGTACTATTTCTCTCTCTCTCTCTCTCTCTCTCCCGCCCGCCATGTACGTCGCCTTCGAGCCACGTCACAAGAATAATGCGCGCTTAATCGTCGATCTTCACATCCGTTTGACCCCTTTCAGTCGTTAAATTCATCTCTTTTTTCGCAAACGCGCCGAGAGCGTTTTATCGAGTCGTCGTCGTCGTCGTCGTTCGCTCCATAAAGCGAATAAAACAGCACGTCGCACGCCCCAGCGGGAAAAATTCGAATTCACGCGAGGGCAAATACACGTTTATTGGGACGGAAAGCGTTCTAAGTACTCGTTTTTGCCCCCGTCGCCGCGTCGTCTGCGTCGTCGCGTTACCCACTCGCTCTCAAATGTTTTTCTCTCACTTTGTGTTGCAGGCGGTGTCGGAGAGGCTGGAGTTGGCACCAGCTGGCGGAAGATCAGAGCCGCAGGTGAGTACCGTGGTGAGACTCCGGGTCTAACCTTGTGCCCGCTTCAAAGGGAAACACCGCACGGTGAATTATATATCTCTCTCGCGGGGAAAATTCGTCGTTCTCGACCTCGTTATCCCGGTCGCTTTTTCGCGACGTGCATGCATGCGTGTCGTCGTCGTCTTTCAAGAGACAATTCGCAACGGTGTCGTAAGAATGAGGAAAGGAAAAATTACCGGTGTCCCCGCGACACTTGTACGCGAGGAAAGCCAGGCTCGCAGAGGCTCCTCTCCTCCTTCCTCGAAAACGACGACGACTGGCTTTCCCCGCGGAGGAGCGAAACACTTTTGATGAAGTTGTGCTGAGCCAAATGTGTTTGCCGTCGACTGCCACTGTGTGTACCTTTAATGACCGTCGTATTTCCTCCTCAACGAAGGTCGCCACCTTGTGCGAAGCTGGCGAAGTGTATCTTGCGCAGCACATGGGAGAGCAAGGTCGATGGGTCTCCTCGACCGATAAGAAGAGCTGCATGACGGACAAGCTCGAGATTCTGGAGTATTGCAAGAAGGTAAGAAGAGAGAGGAGAAAAAGAATGTTTAAGCATCACGCATCCATTAAATTCCTCGGTACACACGGCGCGCGTTACACCGCCGGTCGGCACACGTAACCGACTTCAAGTCCTTTATATGTACACGTTAAAAATAAATGCGTTTTCCATCGCCGTGTTAACTTCTCCGATTTGCTCTACTTTGTTTCCCGAGACTCGTAGGAAGGAGCATTGTGCATATGCACGAATACGTGTCAATATTTTGCTTGTCGGGATTACATGCGTAAACATAAAATTTTAATCTCGTCACACTTGAAAGAATTTTCGAGAAGGAAAGAGGGAAAACTGATTTCGAGGACGTTTCTCGCGAAGTCTCGTGGTTTATTATAAAAAAAACAACCTACACTGTAAAAAATATTCTGTACTTGTATTGAAATCGACTCTTTGTCGAAACTTTCGTGGTCAATTTTTAACATACCCGAAGAAAAATATTAACTTCAATAGGTAAATTAGTTGTGACTGTGAACGCCTGAAACTTTAGCAGTGTAAGCGATTTTAATCGTTCCGGTAGCAAACTCTTTTGTTATTATAGCAAACATATTATCGTAAATGACATTAATACGTTTGTTGCTGCACCGAAAGAGCTAGTTACTGCCGCAAAGAGTTTGCTACTACAGCGATTAAAATTGCTTACGCTGCTGAAGTTTAGTTGCCCATATGTTACAACTCTAATTTAACTTTACTGGGGCTAATCTTTTTTTTCGTGTACCCGTGTGTTAATTTAACATTTATGTTTTATTCGTTTATTATTATAATTAATTGAGTTCACGGGAAAAATTTCCTTTTAGTGAAATGAATACAGAAAAGTTTGCGCTTGCAGGGATTATATTGTGAATAAAACACAAAGATAAACGTGTTTAATTTGAGTAACAGAAACCTGAGAGAACTGAGGGATCTGTTACAAAAATCAATATAATTTTCGAGAATTCGTGTCCTAAGGTTGATAAACGATTCATATAGTTTTAAATTTACCGTGCAATATTCTATGACTGAATGAAATAAGGAACTGCTCCGACAATAATATAACATTATTGTGTTTATGTTACATATATTATAACATTCTTACGTTCATGCTATCTCAATATTTGTATTGACTCGATATTCAACATGTTAAAATGGCACCTTTTATACTTCAGTATCGATTAACGTATTAATTTTATGCACATTTTTGACATAATATTTGCATTACTTTTCAACGTGTTTCATCTTGTCTTATGTTGACGCAAAAATCCGTCGGGACAGTTTGGGACACGTAGGAACGTGTTAAATTTAACATACATTTTTCACTATGTAGAGGCAACTATGTGGAATATAAAAATGTGTTACGAGGGTATGGGTATCGTCGCGCGATCCGCACTCGCGGCATCCTTCGCGAATAGGCCGACGGCCAGTGGTAGACAGTGAAAGGCGAGACCAGCTTATGGATTTAACGGATAATAGCATTCGCCGTTTTGCTCATATGTGTATGTGTGTGTGTATATATATATATATATGCATCTGTTGGTGTGATGTGTACATGTGTACATGCTCATGCGGCACGTTCACGCAAACCACCGTGTGCATAAGAGGGATAAGTGCGCGCGCTGTGCTTGCGGACGCGTACGTGTCCCTCGTGTGCACGCTTGCACACACACACACACACACGCGCGAGAGGAGAGCGGCAGTCGGTAGATCGATAAAAATTGCCGTCGTCTCGCCCTCGTGAAAACACGGGCGCGTAAATTATTCTCGAACGGGCGGTGTAATTATTAAACGGAAGGTCGGGAGGTCGGGAGATCGGATTTGTTCGCGACTTCGTTTAACACTCGGACTCTCTCGTATTTAGAGAGAAAACGTCGTCGTCTCCGCCGCGAGCGAATTATTAATTAAGGAGCGACGTGTTATTTTACATCGTGCCGCCGCTGTCGCCGTCACTGCTCCGGTCGCTGCCGCTGCCCGCGGCCGGAATTAAGTCGTTTATAATCTTCCGGCCGGCGCAAATCGCATTTTCATCCCTTCGTCGTCGGGACCCGCCTTTCTAGTCCGCGCAACAAAACACGCGAATTACGCGCTTCGTTAACCCCCTCCTCCCTCCCTTTGTCCCCCTGCCCCCGTGTCGTCGGCCCGGCCGGGAAATCACGTTAATCCTCGCCGATGATTTGGCGCGCGAGTCGCCGCCGACGAGTCACGTCCGCGTCGCGACCGTCGTGTGAATTATTTATCTGTCGCGCTTCACCCACATTTCTTCCCGCGTGAAAGCTCGCTCTAGAGGCTATAGTATCCGCGCGACAGTATCCGATTCCTCCTTATTATTGTGTCCCGCTGCTTCGCGAGAGCGGCGAGCTCGAAATCGAGCCGTGAGAGGGCTCCGATTGTTCGACCGATCCTTTGAGCCGCCGCAATTAAGGGAAATTTAATCTCAATTGGCTCGCGATGGAAACGCGAGTCCCCCGGAATATAATAATCCTTATAGATTTATTTATAACTCTCCCTCCGCGCGCTTTCAGAGTCTAATGAGCGCGGCTTTAATATGTAAATAACACTCGTTCTACGGGCTCGACGCTGAAATTACGGGAGATATATTCTTAATGGCTACTTAGTTATCGAGCCAGTCGGAGCCGGCGTCGCAACGACTTGCGCGATTCGCGCGCGGTGGATCCGAGAGCGAGGAATACGAGACGGCTCGCGCGACGAGAATATGCGTTTTTGCAGCCTCCTAAACGGGGATTAAGCGGTGATCCGTGCGCGATAATGACACGGCTCGCCGAGGTGCGTGTGTGCGCCCGATAATTCAACGGCCGCTTGATTACAGGCTGCCAGGGTCGACCTGGTAACGCGCTGCTCGCAACAGGCCTCTCTTTTAATACGCGCCTGTGATTTTCTTCCCCCCAGGCTTACCCGAAGAGAGACATCACCAACATCGTCGAGTCGTCGCACTACGTCCGAGTCAGCGGATGGTGCAAGCCCGGAAGGACCAAGTGCAAGCTCTCCCGCTGGGTCAAGCCCTACAGATGCCTGGGTGAGTTTCACGAGGATATTGATCGGGCTTATTTCAGCGTCTCGATTACTTGGCGCGATGTTGCTGCGCGTATAATACTTGTAGTTGTTAAAATGGAAAATAATGGCGCCGTCCTATCGACAGAATCGGTCAACTGCGCTGTAATTGGGGCAGACCCTTCTTGATTCAATACTACTGAGTTATACGGGGTCGTTGTATGATGTATGAGTTTCAATAATATTGCCGTTCAATCAAGGAGATTTATTCCAATTACGGCGCTGTGTTGACCGATTCTATTGATACGACGGTGTTTTCCTTTCCGTGTATGGGTGAATTTAGCGGTCGCTCTTGCGAGCGCTTGCCGATTCAAAAATTCTGCGCGTTACACGTTGATTCGTCGAGCCGAATATTATTTTGCGATAATATCGTGAAATAATCGAAATTATCGGGCGTCATGTTTGAGGACGATATCGAAAAGTAAATCCCGAGTCGAAATTTTTATGCTACTTTGACGCTCTTAACGGTTGTTCACTTAGATAGCTTATAGACCAATGAAAACCCACTTTGACGATATTGACACTTGTCAACTTCGCTCTTGAGCCTTTAATTCTACAGATATCACTTTAATGCTACCTTGAAACGATCTACTTTGACGCTAAAACAGCGGGAATGGAAATATAAGACTTGATTAGGAGCGAAGTAGAAGTAAATTGTACTGTTGGAATTGAAATTTAACCTATTTTGTCATCGTAGCTTCTGCTGTATGTTAGAATTAAAAGTTTAATGCCGGTATTTATAGTCGGGTCTTATATTTAAAACCGCCTAAATTCACTTTCCGATGTTTCGTAGCCAATAAAATGATCCGTAATAATACCCCCAGCAAACACTAACAATAACGTAACATCAATGTTATCATTTCCCACTTAACAATGTAAACGCGATATAACACCCATGTTATGTTAACAATTGCATCGTTGAGCGGGAAATTTTAACACTGACGTTGTATTACCTTATATGTGTTGTTGTTGCATATGTATTACTACTAATTGATGTTTGTTGGATCTGAAGGTGAATTTAAGGCGATCTTAAACATAGCCTTTAATAAAATTCTGAAATATAAAGGCTTTAAATATAAGGCTCGACTATGAATAAGGCTTCTGTTTCTCGACACAGTTATCTCGATTAATAACTTCAGAAGCAAGAAGACATGTGTTGAAAATTCTTGCGGAATACGCAGAAGTAAAAAAATATATCCACAAATTGTAGTTTACCGAAAGCAGACCTGCAAAATATTCCGGAAACTTTACTTTTGTTTTCGACAAATAGTCGTAAAATTAATACGGCAATATCATGAGAAAAGACAGATTAAAAAGATAGGTCGCGTCAATTTTACGGTTCATTTGATTGCTTGAACAAAAATAAAATTTACGTACTCTCACGAATCTGCTCGATCGACTGCAATTGTCATATTATGCACGGAAGAGAGAACTCAGTTCTTGCAACAGAATAGGGACCAGATGAAAACTCGTCGACAAAAAGTGATATCTCTGTTACTGCGATTGAGAACATTCGTGTGAACATTCAGCTGCATTAAATCCCGGTTGAGACCACTGAGAATAATTGACTGAGTAGTAGAAACCTCCTACAGGAATCTTTCTGCCACTACAACCGAATTTTCATCTGGTCTCTAGGCAACGGAAAATCCAATTACATCGATGGAATTGTTTTTTCCATGTATGTGTGTGTGTGTGTGTGTGTGTGTGTGTGTGTGGATTATTTTTTTATTTCAACGTATTTCGCTGGAATTTTGGGCATGCGTTTTCTCGCTTCTGACGTCATCAAACAAGACGACTGCAGCGCTGGACCAGGAGGAGTCTTAACACAGGCCCGACATTTCTTCTCGGGAATGAAGTAACGTAGGCGTCGATATTCGACCTCATGGATGCGAAGAGACGTACAGATTCCGATATTGATCTTATTAACGCCGACTCATTGTTGGGTTATTGCAAAATTGATATCGGATTAACATCAAAAGTTCCTTTCCGAGTAATTCATGGTAACGTCCTCCCTTCCTTCCCTTTCTCTCTCTCTCTCTCTCTCTCTCTCTCGACGCGGTGCTGGAGAATTGCATGGAGGAAGTATCGGTTTGTGAGAGAAGTGTCTACGGGCGAGCCGGCTAATCGGCCGCGAGCACGTCGATAATGTGGCGGCTACGAGCGGCGGGTGGTGCGGAGAGAGATCGGTCTCCCTCGGCGACGGAGATTTAGTTGTAAATTTAGCGAGACGCGCTCTCGATCTCCCACGAACGGAAGAATTCAATTTGTAGAGTCAATACGATGTGCAACGGACAATGCGCGATGTCTGTTGAATCGCTCGACCGCCTCTTCCTGATCAGCCTTTTGATTGCGTTGTGAAGGACGCGACGGCGCTCACCGGACGTGCAGAATCGAACATATCGAGAAACGCGAAGTTCAAGATCAAACTTTCCTCGCTTTTCCTTCGTTTTATTTTTCTCCTCTTTTTTTTTGCGAATGTCAGATGTCGGAAACGTTTTCGATCGAGTTTTCCGTGCCGTCCGAATCCCCGGCACGACGCGGATTCGTTTCACGCGTATTAAATTCGGACGACACGACGCGAGCCGATGCATCCGCGGTAAATTCCGCGGCGCTCTCGTTTGCGCTTTGGACTCGTTAAAAAGCCCGTGTCCCGTTTTTCAACTGTGTTAGACAAACGCCATTATTCCACTACGTTGGTCATGCGCAGATGGTCACGGTCGTCCGCTTTTATATTCGCGTCTTCTGTTGCGTGTCCGGTGTCTTACGGGGTTTCATTAATCACCACCTCGACGACGAGCGTTCCCGTGAAAAAAGTGACCACCGAGTGTCGGGTTCCTTTATTATTTAATTTTTAACCCGGCATGCGCGTTTTTATTTCTCCCACGCTGTGACACGTGCGCTGAACCTTCCCAGTCGCGCGCGCGCGATTTAGAAAAATTCTTATTTTTACCAGTTTATCATCATTAATATACAAAAGCTCACAAAATATTTCAGACATGTTTTTTATATTACTACCGTCTAGTTATCGTAGAAGGTGCGAGACTGTTGGTTTTTGTATTTAACGGTGCGAGTATAGTTTCAAAGTTTCGAAAAAACTCCGTTTTTTTTTCAATTTCTCCGCGGATTTTTTCGACTTCTTTACGGGGGAGGAAAGAACGTAAATGTGACAAGTTTTAAGCGAACACACGTGAATTTTCAAATTTTTATAACCTTCGGACAGAAAGCGAAGAAACTCATGGAAAAATGGCGGAAAGAAACAGTTTTTTTTTCCTAAAACTTGAAAATTGCGAGGTTGATACATGGATGAAGTGAAACGACAGACTTCTCGTCTGGGAGTACGGGTAATCGTATTTATTTACCTTTTACTGTATTTTTATCTCTCTCGATGGAAACGCGACACACACGAGTGTACTCTGGCACAAATCGGCCGAGTGGTTAATACCCTCGAAAGGTCTGCGTGACTAGCTCTATTGATCAGCACCGGCGAACGTAGTGATGCGTCATCCGCTAGACGCGTTTCCATTTCGCCGTCTGTTCTTTCCTTCTCTCTCTCTCCTCCTCATCCTCCTCGTCCTACTCCTCCTCCTCCTTCACCACTTCTTCGACTGCATCGCTCTATCGCACGTCTATAAAGTTAGCCGCGACGGTATATTTTGAGTACTGCACAACCCAGCAAATGTGATTATTTGCTTCTCGCGTTTATGAAGTTCTGCGCCTTTCACGTAGAAACGTTCACTGATCGTTGAGCTTCTATAATAAGAGTTGCGACGAAGAGGTGATGATTTCCGATTGGCCGAGCTCTTGCATACAGCAAATCGATGTAACTAGGGAGGTTATTATATATTATTATTCGTAACCATCATTGTCTCTTTGTTAATTTTTTTCAATATATTCCCCATGCCGCAGAAATACTCAAAATACATAATAAAAATATCCTATAAATGTCACGATACTTTTAGAACATCTCTATAATATTTTGGACATGTTTGCTGTGTAGTTTAATTTGACAGCTGTTAGTTGGTCTGTCCTTTTCATCTGAACTGGCTTCACTGGTTCAAGGGATTTGCACACTTGAAACGTGAGAATTTCGTACACTGAGAAAAATTTCCATCGGGTAAACCGAATAAATGATGTATTCGATTATGTTATTTTTATTGATCGATCCGAGTGATGGATACTTTTATTCGATAAAGTATCCGATGAAGTTACCGATGCAGTTACCGATGAAATCTAATCGGGAATTTAGTCTTTTGTATGTCCGTTGTAATTTTCATCGGACAAAGGCACGACTTGATCGGATATATCTGTTTGTTACTTTTTAATTGGATTATCCGATCAGATATGATCGGACATTTCTCTCAGTGTACCTACGCTTCGTACGCTTCAATATGCATGTAAATTTCTTGGACTGGTGCAGCCAATTCAGCTGAAAAGAACGGGCCGAGTATTGTATTGAAGGAAAGATACAATTTTAAATTAAAAAAACTAAGAATACCGGTGGAATTGCGCCTCTGAATGGCGACGGTTTGTCGCAGCTCTTATTATATGAACTCGAGCAGGTCGGAGAAGCGTGCGCGCGCGTGCGCTGGTAATGTCACAATCGAGGAAACGGCGAATAAGAATAAACGAATGCGCGCGCAGCGACCCTTGACGGTCTCATCGAACTTTCCTCTTGAATTGAAGCCTCTGCAATATGTACCGTTTGCAATTTTCAGAGGGACCCTTCCAGAGCGACGCACTCCTCGTGCCAGAGGGCTGCCTCTTTGATCATCTGCATAATCAAACAAAATGCTGGGAATCTCACAGGTAACGAGCTGCATGCGCGCGGATATCTATCAGACGATATTAATTCCCGAGCCGGCTCAGATTTACGATATATATATATATATATATATATATCGGCGCTTAGAGCGCATCAAAGCGATCGGCCGCGATCCGCTCAAGTATTAGGGGTTTTCGTGTTTACAGAGCGTGTACTAATGCGCACACGTATACACGCGCGCGCGCGCACACGTATAATCCGATCCAATTATGACACAACGATCGCTGTGTCGGACTGATGACCAATTATCACTTGGGTGCGACGTCGCGCCCAGGTTTGTCGCGCCGCCGCTTTTACACGCGGATCGCGACAATAATCCGCCCGCTCGAGTCGAAATTTCGACGTCGCGTTGACGCTCTTGAGGATACGCGCGGAGAATTTTTCTCAGAAGATATGAACATTCCCGAGCCGAAAAGGTATCATGAGCGGTCTCGCCCGGCTGGAATGTATCTGCGTTACGTCGAAGCAATTTCAAGACAGTATGGGGAATTTTGGAGGGCAACGCGAACGACGCGATTACAACTGCGCATTCTTCAGTCCAGACACCATGTCTATGTTCAGCGCTACCATTCATTCACTTACGTCACTTTTTGTTAAAACAATTTACTAGAAAATTCACTGTCGTCTGAAATGAGTCACTATAGTTACTTTCTTTCCTGGGCTGCCATTAAATTTATAATATATAGGCATTCTATATATTTTCTTTTACCGTCTCTGTTAATAAAACTGTTCTAAAAGCGTACTTGTATCGTTCATGTTCTTGGTCATTCCTGGTCTTGTTACGAACTTTCAAACCTTACTATGAAAAGAACTCGTTATAAGTTAAGTTATCCAAAGCTAAACTTGGGAAAGTAAAAATAAGTGTTTTTTTTTTGCTTAATTGACCTTAGTTATCCTTAGAATTTGAAAAAATGTCACTTTGGTCGCTATTTTGATATCTGAGGGATCACTTTTCGTCAAAAAGCAGTTACTGTGTTATTTTTTTGTTCCGGCTGATTGGATGGCAGCGCTGTCATAAATACAACGAATATCCCGTCTTTCTGTTGTTCTCATAGATGCGCATACAGAGCAGTACTGTACGTTACACGATATTTATTATTCGAGATAAAACTTCTTCCCATACTGACATCAGAACTCGCATTCCAAGGTGCAACGTTGAAAATGCATGTATGGGATATTTTTTACTTTCCTGATATTTTTTCACGCATATTGATATCTTTATATGCAATCAAATTAAAAAATACATGTGATCGAATTATTAATTTATTACTCTACATTATTTCAGTTTAGTAGTATAAATTTAATTTTAATGCTACCTCGAACAACTTAATTCGGCGCCAAAATAGCGAAAACAAAAAATTCAGATTCATCATCAGTCAATCAAAGTTAAAGTAGAACTAAATGATATTATTAAAATTTAAATTAAACCTATTTTGCTACCTTAGCTTCTACCATGTTGTAGAAATAAAGTTTCCGCATAGGTGGAAAGTTTCGTCTCGGGCGTTCGTTTATCGCGATGTTGCGGGAAGATCAGGTGTGACACACACCGTCCTCGGGCGCAGATGCGATGATCGTGCGGATTTGCGTTTCAGATGGAACGCCACGGCCGCGGAGACTTGCAGGGAGCGAAACATGAACCTGCGTAGCTTCGCGATGCTGCTGCCGTGCGGCATATCTCTGTTCTCCGGTGTCGAGTTTGTTTGCTGCCCGAAACACCTGAAAGGTACGTAACGTACGTACGCTCAGCTACCACATTCATTCATTCATTCATTTATTCATTCGTCCGTTCGTTCGTTCATTCATTCATTCATTCGTTCGTTCGTTCGTTCGTTCGTTCGTTCACTCATCGTAATTTCATTCGAATTCACACACGGAAGAAACAATCTCAGTTCCTGCAGCTGAATGGGGACCAGATGAAAACTCGATGACAAGAAATGAAAACTCGGCGACAAGAAATGTTATCTCTGTCACTGCGACTAAGAACATTCGTGTGAATATTCAGCTGCGTTAAGACGCAGTTGAGACTACTGAGAGCGAGTGAGTCGACCGATTAGAGATCTCCCACAGGAAACTTTCCGTCCCTACAACAGAATCTGGTCCCTAGGCAACAGAAAATTCGGTTACACTAATGGAATTGTTTTTTCCGTAGAGAATTTCTGGTTCTTAAGAGGATACTTTACTTGAACGCTCGACCGGCAAAATGCCTGACCTTTTCTGCAAAGTTTACTTCCCATCGGCTGGATGGAATTATAATTGCTTTTACATAGTGAGAACTCGTGCAAATATGAATCGGAGCACCGTTCGAAATGTGATAAAAACGATAAAGAATTTTAACACTGATATTTCCAGCTGTCAGTTAGCGTAAATATTTGCTTGATACAGAAATCCTGCACACCGAATGTATACACGCTCCAAACAGGAAAATTTCAATGAGAACATTTTTATACCATTTCAATGAAGTTTAGAGACTTAAAAATATATGGAAAGCTTGCAGGGAAATTCTTACGTGTCTCGATTAGATTTTCAGATTTTTCATTAGGCGTGGTAAAACGGGGAAACGCACATTCATTGAATTTCACATTTGCATCACATTTCTTTAAAATTTGTACGCGCAAGAAATATAAAAGAAATAACATGATCGTACCAATGTTTATATTAACATACATTTTAAGGATCGCTTGTATATTATTGATGTTTATCAAGTTCGCCATCGATTTTGGCGACCCTTTAAGATAGTTGGTCCGTCAAATCATCAAACCAAGAAATACTATCTTTACACGTCTGCAAAATTAGAAAATGATTGACCATTCAGAAGTTGAGATATTTGCAGTTAAAGATGACACTTTTTATACGTATTCCTCGTAGTAAATGCTCTATTTTTAACTTCTAATTTTAATTTCTTCTAAACTACATTTAAGATTTTAATGAAAAACTATCGTGATATTAAAAACTAATATAAAGACATTATGCAAAAATTTCAGAATTATTGACCATATTGTTTTGGAAATATAACCATAGGAAATAACAATTTATCGTAATACTCACGATACATGCACACATACAAAGATTTAAATATTTATACATCATTTTCTGTTATATACGCACCTCTATTAGCTCAACTGACATATAAATAAAGCATTAAGAAGAAAAATAAACAATATTTCCGTGTTTATGTATGTATTCATGATATTGTATACGTATTTGTCCGAATTTCATTCAAAATTAACATTAACTATTTCGACAGTTAAATAAAGTTACAGGAAAGTAGTTTTTCAGTAAATAACAGACTTATATAGAATGTCTCTTAATATCGCTACTTAAAAATCCGGCACTCTGCGGACCAGCTACCTTAAGAACCGCGAATTTGGTTCGCACAAGAGCCAGAAATTCCGTTTCCTTCCCAGCCGAAACGCGTTTAGTTATGTCACGTCGATTCCCTCTTCTCCGTGCGAGATGCAGCCGCGATTCGCGAGAGGAAAGGAGCGTCGCCGGTGTCGTCGTTGTCGAACGATCGCTGTGCATTCCCCGGAATGCGGTGCCTGCCGAACGAAATCTCGCGCTCGTTCATCTCCCAGCGAGCGCGCTGTTTCGCTGCGACCGTACACGTTCCGCTCACGTCGCCGCGCGTTGCCAAGAGCTCGCGTTTCCGGAGTTGCTCGCGCCTTCTTAGCATGCTCGATTTGCCGTAAAAAAGAGCCCGGGCGGTGGGTGAACGCTCGCTCGCTCGCGACGACGATCCCGCTTCGAAATTCAAGCGAAGCGGGACGCACGCGCGCGCGCACGCTTTGTGTACTTGCTCTTGACTCTGTACTTTTATTCTTTCAGGCAAGAGAACGTCTCTCGTAACGCTGCTCGATCTCTCGGTCGATATTATAAAGAGAAACCACGGTGGAATGATGTTAAACAGACGGTCTTAAGCGCACGACGATGTTCGATGTTAAATTTGTATCATGCGGATTCCGCCGGAAGCTCTCTCGCGCCTGTGTTCGCTAAAGCTCTGTCATTTACTTTGATAAGTACCACATAAGCCTTGCGCCCTTGTGCCCCTCCCCCCTCCACTTTCTCTTCGAGCTTTATTACGCGCTCTGCGCGAGTACTCCATTTTCTCCGGCGCGAACACGCCAGCGTTTCGCAAACCGAGCCATTGTTATTTCGCCTCTCTTCGCTTGCTCGCGTCTCGTCTTCATTTTTTTCCTTTTTCTTTCCGGCACACAGCGGGATTATTAATAGGGACGCGTGTCTATCGGCTGGAGCGTATCGACGAGAAGAGGAAACGGCGCGGGGAAGCATGAATATTTACGCGAATTCGCGACGAATTTATATTGCGAGCGGCGAGAGAGAGAGAGAAGCTCCTATAGAAATACCCGGCATTTACGCTACCCGTTTTCAATCGACTGTCGCAAGGAACAAAGAGAGCGACTATAGGAGGGCGCAAAGAGAGGGTGTATTAAGCGAGGGGTGCCACCTACTTCGCCTCGCCGCCTCCTCCGTCTCCTTCGCGGCACCCTGGTCTCGTGCCACCCTTCGCAAGCTCGCTCGTTCACTCATTCTCTCTCTTTCTCTCTTCCTCCCTCCCTCCCTTACTCTTCTCCCACTTCCTTCCACTCTCTCCCCCCCCCCCCNNCCCCCCCCCCCCTTACTCTCGCGCCTCGTCGCTCTCTTGTCTTCTCTCTCCCTCATGCAATCAATAATGTCCGCCGACGTTCCCGACGACTGCGCAACGTACCGCCGGAGCTTCCGGCGTCGCTGCGCAACTTTTCTTTCTCCCCGACACACGTACTCGACCGGTTCGATTAACACACGGCTTTCGCCTGCTACGCCTGAATCATACGCCGCCCCATTATTTTTTTAGTACGAGTAGAAGATAACTACAAGGGGCGACGTGTCGGCCGGGGGTTGAGAGAGAGAGAGAGGGGCGACGAGGGGTTTGCACGCTGAAATGGACTCTTTCACAAATGCGCAATACAAGGCGCGACGAGGGAGGGCGTGCGGCCGATTCTGCGGCCTTCGTTGTTGACATTGATGACACTGAATTTCCGTTAGCCTCGCGTCACTTCCCCCCCTCCTCCTTCTCTCCTTCCCCTCTTCCTGATATATCCCCCCCTCTCTCTCTCTCTCTCTCTCTCTCTAACGTTTGACATCGCCGATTGATTTCGGATAAACTGTCCTCTCGAGGAATCCGCAACCCTGTACAACGAACAATCGTGACATAAGGCATGTCCCGGAGAAACTGCCAACGCGTGCAGTTGCCGCGTATATCTACTCGTGTGACCCAGATAAAAGGACGACATCGAGGATACGGTCAGAAGGAGAGGCTTTTGTGTCTGCCTTTGCAGAAGTCGAGAAGTCGTCTCATCAGAGCATCTATTCTCGGAGAATGAGACATCTCGAGAACCTAGTTAGCCAAGTTGCCGCGCTTCGGACCAGCTTCTCGGCGTGGAAACCTGGCGAAATTAGAATTTCTACGCTGCAGGTGGAAGAAGGACGCGCGCTGCTGCTGTTGCTACTGCTGCTGTTGTTACTACTGCTACTGCGAATCCTCGGGAATGAAACGCGTTTCACGCAGTTCAAACACGTTCGAATTTCTCGCTGTTTCCCGACAATTTCCTTTGATTATCCTGGCCGATCGAATATATTGCAAGACGGCGGAATAACGTGTCCCGTAAGAGGCGATCGAGAGAGAGAGAGAGAGAGAGCCAATTATAGTTTCAGTTTTGAAACAAAAATCGTTTTTTTCCCCGAATTTTTCCGCGTATTTTTTGGTTTCTTCTTTGCACGGTAAACAATTTTATATTAAATTTAACAGATATCACATATCCTATACTCGGTTCACTTCGGCTTCTCATTTCTTAAATCACGGGATAAATTCCCGTTGATCTTCCGATTGATCTCCGCTTCACCGAGTGTGTGAGCGGTCCGTTCGCAGAAACAATTCCTCGCTGCCCGTGCTCGCCCGGTGCTTCTTCACGCGCAGGAATTCGCCTCGTGAATTATATATAATCTGTGAAATTGTTAAATTACGACGCGCGCGTGCCATTGTATCGCGCGTTCTTCCTAACTATATCAATAAATAACCAAGCGTGTCCCCCGCAGTGGTGCACTGGCAGTGTATCACTGGAGCGCATTGATATAGATTATGGGCCAGAATTCCGCGGAGCTATCTGCGGCCAGCCCAATCCCGTCCGTTTACTATTCAAACAATGGCAGTCGATATACCGGAATGTGCGCGCAGACAGGAATTCCAATTATTGCATATGTCGTCCTGTACTACGCATATGTATGTGCCGTAGGTCGCGTATGCATGTATATACATATACATAGTATATATATATATATATATATATATATATCGAATCGTGATTGCTTTATAGAGCGGCACGTAAAAGAGAAAAAGAGCAGAGAGATTACATTGTCCACGGGGTGAATCAACGGCGCGTCCTTTCTCGTATCGATAGCACGACTTCCGCTGTTTCTTCATGCAGGTCTCGCGTTGAAGACGACGAGCGCACGTGGCGACGTGGAGACGTGGCCGGCGAGGATGCGTTAGTCCGAACATTCGCATATTCTGCACCGACCGATGATCGCTTTATATTCATGTTAAATTGATAAATTGCTGAACGCGATTGTTCAGGAAAATAACGCGCCGAACGTCTGTCTTTTGCAGAGAATGTGAAAGCCAAGAAACCCATCGATCTACCCATCCCGAAGAGCGTGGACGACGATCTCGACGAAGACGAGGACGATCTCGATGATGAAGATGACTTGGACGGCGACGCCGAGGATGAGGACAATTCCGACGGTGATCTCGAAGATGTGCTCAGCGATCAGCCCGATGACGACGAGAGCGAGGAGGAGTATGATGATCTCGATGATTATGATACGACCACCAGGTGATTATCCTGCCGGAGAGGTATCGACAGCCGAAGCATTTTTAATCTGACTTAATTGAACTAGCATACAATCATAAATGTTAAAAACAAAATTAAATCCAAAATCTACAACAGATACGATTTATTTACACTCTTTTACTTTTTCGGTAATACAATAATTATAATTAAAATTATGTAATAATTAGTTTTATATGAAAATCAATATTTAATTGACTAATATTATACAGGGTGATTATTACCACCTTGAATATCTCCGAGAGATAAAAGTACTTCATTAACGACTAGATGAAAATGAAAAAAAGTTGACATTTACAGAAAGTGTTCGTAGTAATGAGCACGACGTCAATGGAATTTCTGTCGGATAAATTTGCCTCCTACCTCCTGCCTCTTTTAAAACGATAATAGTTACTTACTGTCTCAATCTGTATGATAAGTTGAAGTTACCTGAACGATTGGAGTTACTTTGTACAATTGTTCTAAATCAGTCGGCCATCGACGACGGTCTCCACAACGGAGAAAGCGAAGCAGGAGGCGACGGCGATGCCGTTACCGGTCAGTACGAGTACGCAGCAGCCTTCTCAACCGCAGGGCACTCCCGATCCATATCTGACGCACTTCGACCCGCGGTCCGAGCATCAGAGTTACAAGCAGGCTCAGATGCGACTCGAGGAAGTGCACAAGGAAAAAGTAACGAAAGTAAGTCCAATCGATCGCAGCGCGATCGTATCACGAGTGCACTGTGTACAGTCAGCTCTCGACACACCGTAGACCCGTACTTGCATAGAAGATTCCCGGCCTAAAATTTAACGTTACGAATCGAAGCAGCAGTAGAAGACCAGCGCGTGAAGATACATGTAAGATACGTACGATCGCTGCCGTGTTTTTATTCAAGCATTGCGCAATATGTAGGATAGATTTGACATAAGTAGGTTTTGATTTACGTACATAGAGAAAAAAAGATTACTATCAATTCAAGACTCATTCATATTCTCATGTATCAGCAAGAATATATAATCCTGGATGAAGATAAAACTTGCTCTTATATTTGCGTAAGAAAATTTTACACAATTCCACTATGAATATATTCATGTTATTCAGGAACAATTTTTATGAATCGAGAGGAGGAGAAAATATTCGATAGAACGAACGATATTTTCAAGCCTAAGAATTGTGTCAGTTTAAAGATATCGTTCTTTCTGTCCAATATTTTTTCCTTTCAATAAAAATTATTTTTAAATAATAAGAATACAATATTTTTAATGGCATTTATAGAAAGAACGGTTTTATCTTCATATGAAGGTACACATTCTTGCTTATATACGAGAATATGAGTGTTGAATTGATACTATTTTTCTTCCATATAGTTTTTTCATATTTTTTGGAAGCAATTTTATCTACGTAAGCCAAGGGCTGGCTGTATATCTTTAGAAACATGGAGAACGTGAGAACGTCAAGCGTGAGATCTCCGATCGTCAGTCGAGATATATCTGTGTTCGGGTGCTACGGGATCGTGGAAAAGAGAAGCACTGCCTTTGAAAGAGGAATATCATGGCGCGGGACATTGGTGTGGAAATCTTTGTGCTACAACGCTTTCAGGTGATGAAGGATTGGAGTGATCTCGAGGAGAGATATCAGGATATCAGGGCGCACGATCCCGTCGCCGCGGACGCCTTCAAACGCTGGATGACTGCGCGATTCCAAGAGACCGTGGCCGCGCTCGAGGAGAGCGGGGCCGCGGAGAAGCATCAGTTGAGCGCGATGCATCAGCAGAGAGTGCAGGTACTACTTTCGGCGTCGATGACGCGCGATACGATCTGTAATCATCTCTCATCGTTTAATCGTCTCTCTCCGTAGGAGGCGGTCAAGCAGAGGAACGAGGAGGCCATGTCGTGCTACACCGCAGCCCTCAACGAGACGCCGCCGAATGTAAGTTTCGCGTAGCGAAATTGCCTTTTTTCATCTCTCTTTATTGAGTACAAAAGAAATACAAGGATTGAGCCTCTGGACCAGCCAGCTTCATCTAGTTACAAAAGTGATCCGCAGTCGATGAAGCTGGTACACGATGTGTTCAACCAAAAGGGACTTTTAAAAGGTCGAAAGTATTACTGAAAACAGGAATAAGAGCCGCATAAAATAGCAAAGATAAAGGGACTGAATAGACAAGATATATTTAAGACGAAGAAAAGATTGTTTGAATTTGAAGCATTAATTTATTACGAAATTGCGTTTAGCATATGGTAATACTCGCGCCACCTTGCCGCTCAACAACGTACACTTTGTGTTTGCGTCTTGCAGATGCACCGCATCCAGAAGTGCTTGCAGAAGTTGCTCAGGGCTCTCCACAAGGACAGGCACCACACGATCGCTCATTACAAGCACCTGCTCGACAGCAGCCTGGAGCAGGCTCAGCGGGAGAAACCGGCGACTCTGGAGCACCTGGCGGAGATCGACAGGATCACCAATCAGAGCCTCCTGATGTTGGAACGGTAACGTATGCCTGTTGTACGGCTGAGCTTACCACGAATATCTGGAACACGCGCGAAGACACGCGACAAACGAGAACGCCGTCCGTGAGAGAAACGGGACGCCCCGCGGCTTCAGCCAGAGAGAGGCAGACTTTCACTTTTTTCTTCCTGTGTTCAGATATCCAGACCTAAGCGCAAAGATTGGCCGTCTCATGGACGATTACGTTTTGGCCCTCAGGAGTAAGGATGAAACTCCGGGGTTGCTGCTGGCAATGACGCGCGAGGCGGAGGCAGCTATCCTCGACAAGTATCAGGCCGACGTCGCCAGCAAGCAGCAAGGTATTTATTACTCGATCTGCCTAGAGGTGTGCGAATCAGGTGTCTGCGTCGAATTGAATCTTTGATAGTACGTTCGAAGTCGCGTCTCTTTAATTCGAATACGAGTCAGATTTTGCATTACATGCTAATACGTTTGATAAAGCTTCAATGAATTAAAGAATGTTTTCCTTTAATGGCCAGTAATATTAATTACTTCATAGTTTTGAGAAAATTTCCTGCCAACCATAAGGAAAATATTGTGCTAAATATTAGAAAATTTATAATGGATATCAGATAAAAAGTGCGCAGAACTTATAAACTGATAAATATATATAAATATGTAATCATATTTTATAAGCTGGCAAATATATGTACACAATATGTTTGAAAGATTATGGAATTGATTATTTTTATTTTTTGTTTAAGCAGCATATTAGTAGCGTTTTCTACATGTTTACCTTACGAGGTATCTGTATTTTATAATCCGAACTACGCCAAATTATTTAACAAAGAACACTCTTACATTCTTAATATTTTGTTAACAATAGGAAAATGACTTTGAGGGATTAGTTCTTAATTTCAATTTACTTATCATTCTCCGGTGTAAATGAAGAGATTGAAAAGCGATTCGAACTGCCGATGATTCAAAATGATCTGATTTCGAACCTTTTAGATTCGAAAATGGACTCGAATTGTGAGTCAACAGTGATTCGATTCGCACACTTCTGGGCCTACCGGACGAGTCCGCGTCGTTCCGCGAACGTACCGATGACGCGAGAAGCACCAAAACAGATTACCTTACAGAGAAAGAGCATCAGAAGCAACTGGAGCGAGCGCGCAAGGAGCAACGCAAGGCGGAGCGCGGCGAGCTGCGCACGGAGCAGGAGCAGCACGAGGAGGGCGACTCGGCTATCGACACCAAGGATATCCCGCAGCAGCAGTCGGAGCAGCCTGCCGCGGTCGCCGCCATGCATAACGAGGGAGTGGTCAGAGCAGCGCACAGCATGACGCACGATGTCTCTCATTCCGAGCCAGTAATGATCGCTTATTCATCGTTAGACTGGTATTTTATGCGTTGTACGACGAGATTATTAGACTCGTCGATTGGCTACCGGACAGAGAGAACCTCTAAAGGAGGAGATGTTAGAGACTCCAGAAGTGCTCTGTCCAACAGCCAATCAGCACGTCCGGCAAAAAGACGCATGAAATAGTGCAGCATTAGCCGACAATCAGCGGGTATGCTTACACCGTTCTCGCTTTTAGGGTTACTCCGTGAGGCGAGAGGTGTACCACAGAGAGAGTCGATCCGTCTATTTCACGCTCGCGTTTGCCGGAATAGCGCTCATGGCCGCCGCGGTCGTGGGCGTCGCGGTGTTCAAGAGACGCAGCGCGAGGAGCCCTCACAGCCAGGTACGTGTCGGATTGTGCCACGTCGAGTCGCGTCACAGGCCAGTCCCTGCAGGGGTGGGGCAATAGCTATCGCGAATATCTCTTCCGAAAGTAAAAGTATTTTATTAACGACTGGGTGAAGATGAGGAAAGTTCTACGAAGAATCTAAATGAACGCTCGAGTTATAGACAACGAGCGACTGAGGGCTCACTGAGCTTCCTCTGCAGCAATTATTTACTTTTCGATTATTGTTGAACGAGTTAAAGTTACAAAACTGGAAATTTGGCAATTCTTATTGCTATTCATCGAATTGGCTTAGTCGAAGTTTAGAAAAAGTCCGAACGTTTGACCATTTCCTATAACCATCTTCAGCTGAAACGCAATTTCTATCGGATAAATGTTTCTCCCGCTCTCACATTTCGAAGATATTTAAAGTGATTATTGCCTCATTTTGAGCACAGAGATCAAAGATTTCTTTGGATTTAATAAAACTGTTTCAATTGAAGCAGATTGTCCTCTGGAATGGAGCAAACAAACGAACAAACAGAATTGTTTAATTTCTCAATAATAATTATCTTTACGTCACATATTTCTTTTTATCCAAATGATAGTTGTCACAAGTAATACGTTATTTCGAAGAAGCGACACTGTATTAGAAAAATATCCGAAAACTCCTTCGTATCAGTGGAACACATTTAATATATAATGAAATATATTTTCTTACTGAGAACAAAATACCGTTTCCTCTAAATAATATTGTTCTTTTTTTCTATCAAACAACATGATTTAATCTTAGTGAAACAACATTTTAATCCAGACAGGATGATATTTGATGTTATTTTTATTAAACAAGCCCAAGTCAAAGGAACAACATGTATATTAAGGAAACCTTTTTCTCTGCGCACACTGTTCAGTCACGACGATATTAATAACTTTCGCCGCACCGGCGCTCCGCGATCGATCGGGCGCAACGTGACTAATGTCATATTCCATTTCCGGCGGCCAGGGTTTCATCGAGGTCGACCAGGCGGCTACGCCCGAGGAGCGGCACGTCGCGAACATGCAGATCAACGGGTACGAGAATCCTACATACAAATACTTCGAGGTGAAGGAATAATTCGGCCGCTCCCCTCCCCTCGGCGCTCGCAATTTTGATTTCAAGCTGAGTCGCAAAGCCGTTCGTTCTCGCGTATTTTCTTCGAGAATCTCATAATATTTTGTTAGAGTAAGATATAAATAACGTATTTATACAGATATATATACATATATATCTCTAACTCCCACGAGATTCTTCCGAAGACGCATCCACCGACCGTGGGATCTGCGCATCCCAGGTATGCGCTCTCCCGCGGAGATTGCGCGGGAACACGCGTTCCTCAATCGGCAGATCGTGCTCGCGACACCGCATGTGACACACACATACATATATACACGCTCTCTCTCTCCTACACGCGACTGTCGCGGTGCAAAATCGATTTCCGAGGGCTCGACAATATACGTGTAAAATAAAAAGTTTGTAGCGGGGGACACGACACACACGCGCGCGCCGGGCAACGCGATAGCAGTTCGTTGAAAATTCCGCGTGTTCACGTGATGTGCCATACGAACACACGCATACAGATGTTTAGAAGCTATCTTCGGAAGTATCTCTCACGCAGCACACATCATACGTCGTATATACATCATTTTTCCGATTGCGTTCTGTCGCCATGTATACGTGTCCGGTAAAAACGCAGGAAGGAGCGCGAGCCTCGTTGTTAAAAAAGTAGAAAAAAAAGAAGAAGAAGAAAACGTACACGCGCCGTCTTTTAGACTCACCTTCGATGTTCCTTCGCCTCTAACGTCGTGCCGATCGGCGGCTCTCGCGGGAAAGAGAGAGAGAGAGAGCTCGCGGACTCTCTCCGCTCCGAACGACGAAAGTGGAAAACGCGCGCGTTCGCATAACGCAAATAAACCCCCCTTTGCGCTCTTTGCTGTATTTTTCGGTTCTGATATTTTCGGAGGTAATCAATGGCAATAAAGAAGATGAGGAAAAAAGAATACGATCGTAACGCGCAGCTTAATTAAGTGCTCTCCGCGAGAATGGAATAAAGAGGAAGGAAAAGCACGGGAGAACACGCGATTTAGCGATTATAGTAGCTTGTCACTCGGGCAGCTTAGAAGTAAAATACTCCGATTGTAATCGCGCATAATCGTTGTAACGTTACGCTAATTAACCGAGCCGGATGAGTAAGCGCGCTGTACGCGGAGCACTCTTAAAATATCAGAACACACACATACACACCGTCATAACACACACATACACATATATATACGCGTGTCATCGTTGCACGTTTCACCTTTGTGATGCAGCTGGGTTTTTTTCCGCGCCCCTCCATTCCCCCCTCTCCGCCTCTCCGTTCGATTCCCACTGCCTGGTTTACTCGGTGACCTTCTTCAGTACTTAAAAAACACGTCTACTCTTAGATGATAAAGAGAACTTAAGACGTAAGCGAGCTATATAAGAATCATTGACGTATCTCGAAGTTGACGACGACAATGACGATGACGACGACGACGATGAGGGAAGCGAGATGATAATATTCTGTATCATTCCACGCGAAAGTTTACCGTTTTCGTCGAGGTGCTGACAGAACGCTAGCACGGAGAATGTTCGGCAGTTTCGTTCGAACTCGCCGAGGAGGCGACGTACGTCGCGTCGTGAACGCGACGCGAACGTCGCATCGGGGAAGTCACGCCGATGCTGTCGAACAAGAGGAACAGTTCACCGGAGCACATACTCGAGTGGCATTAGTACCTCTGACTTTTAGGTCGTTAAAGAGAGAAGACAAAAAGTCAAGACACGATGAAGCGGCGGCTGTTTGCAAGCAAACGTTTCTCTTTTGCGTTTCCGTTTTGCGTTCTCAGACAAGAGGTAAAAAACGAAGGAGAGAGAGAGAGAAAAGCAAGAAAAAGGATCGTTCATACAATAACTATCTTAGGATATTATTAATTATATACGATGATGACGAGAACGATGATGACGATGATATAATATATTACACGTTTAATGCTTATATATATTTGTATATGGTCGAACAAAAAAAAAACGGTAGTAGCCCGCACTTTAGCGCCAGGGTCGCGTGGGTAAGCACAGTTTTCCTTTCTTCGGTTCACCTCGCGAAACACGCTTTCGTCGGACTTGTCTTTTTTTTACGACGTCCGCGCGATGCGGTGCATTCGACACAGCGCGGATGGTGTCGTCCGACGCGCGAGAAAATATGTCATCTCCGGGGAGATCGAGAGACGCGATCTTTGGGCGAGACCCGTTCGTCGAATCGTCGTCGTTGACGCTTTTCGGAATGTTCGATCTGCGTGCGCAGGCACGAGCGTCCGACGAAGGAAGCTAACCGCGCGAAGAGCATCGCCGTGATCATCGAAACGATGCACCGCACGCGCGCTCGGTCGTTCACCGACGTATTCAATATTATACATATGTAGTAATACGTGTGAAACAGAGAGACGGATTCGGCTCGATGCGCGCGATCATCATCATGCGTAGATAGCGATTACGAAGAGAGAAAAAGGGAGAGAGAGAAGCTACGTTTCGAAATCATGGTCGACGGTTCGGTCAGCATTTTAGTTCACCGACTACGATGAAGAAATCTTTGCTCTTTTCGTTCTGATTGGTCAACTGAATGCTAGCCAAACCAGGACGCAGGAGGGAAAAAGAGGAAAGACAAGAGAGCAAAACGCAGTCGCTGTTCTGTCTCGTAGGTGTACAATGTTCCGCGCACGGTCCATGCATGAGTACATTCCCACTTACATTCTAAGGTCCCTCCCCCCCTCCCCTTCTTCTATTGCGCTCACTTTGCTACGCGAAATACTCGCTACTTTATTATTACTACTACTAATATTTACTACTACTACTATTTACTACCGCATCGCGCGTGACACAATCGTCCGTGAAATTGGGGCGATCAAGAAGAGAATGGTGGTAGAGGAAGAAAGGAAAAAAAAAAAGAAAGAGAGAGATCCTTATAGATATTATTCCTAAAGCGCACGTGGAGCAGCTGCCTTTCTACCTAGCGAGTCACACAACGCGTATCATTTGTCTCACGCAACTCCGGTGAAAAGGGTGTGTAGCCTGCAACAAAAATGCAACCACAGACACACACATGAACAACACACACATCGCTGAATGTTAAAAATATTATTTTAGATATATTAAGAAACGCGAATAGCAATTATATACCATTGAATGTACTATGACTATGAATACAATAGCATCAATGCGTTAACAATAATAATATAAATATCTGTTATATATGTATATGTGTGTGTGTGTGTGTGTGTGTCGTATGGATAATATATAAATATATATATATATATATATATATACAAATATATATATATATACACATGCATATACATGTATACATATTAAATTAACTAAATATTATGTACCTATAGCGCATAGTCGTTAAAAGAAGAAAAAAAGCAACACTGAGACAACGTCGCATATGAACCCTGATCTTGATACGGATTCACAGATGCTGAAGAACTTGCGGTTGTAGTTTAAAGGGACTTATTATTTTTCTAAGCGATCGCGGCCTCGGCTGTCGCGAGGCTGGGAGCGAGGCTCTTCTAGTCTAGGGAAACGCAGCGTTGCGATCCGATTAAGCCTGTGTTGACGAAAAAAGCCGGATGATTTCTGACGATCGCATCGGCAATGTAATAAACCGTCTGCTAAATTTCACGCGGCTCAAACCCGGGCGCCGAGCAATTCCATTCGAGAGAGAGAGAGAGAGAGAGAACACCTCGAGCACCACGTATATATATATGTATACATATATGACAAATCGGCTCATACACTGAAAAATCGTAGAGACCAAGAGACAGAAACGTGCGACTGCGCTCCCGCGCGGGCAACAATGGTCCAATGCTTTCGCGATGATGATTTTCGTGGCGGACATTGGGGTGGTATCAGTATTAGCCAGTCGGAGCATATCATGTTTCGGTGATTATGTTGCGGCGGGAAAGAGAGTAGAGGAAGAAGAGAAGGAAAAAAAATTGAGGGAGAGAGAGAGAGAGAAGAAGAAGTTGTAGCGTGTGCGCTTCAAGATACTGTGAATTTGCATCGGGCTATCTCCGTATATAAGTTTAAGAATTGATTTTTGTAAAGAGGTAATGAGTATATATATATATCTATATATATATATATATATATATATTATATCGAGGCAAAACTGACTTAGCTTAAAAGCCATGTGAGACGTGAGGAAAAGAAGGAGATGAAGAAGAAGAAGAAGCAGAAGGAGCAAAAAAAGAGGAAGAGAGAGAGAGAGAGAGAGAAAATATACGTCCTTGAAGTCACAGTCCAGATTAGCAAGTCCAAAGACGGAGAAAGAGTATAATAATGACTAAAAACTAGACTTTATTTTTACAGTTCTTTCGGTGTCTCCTCCTCGTGTGTATCATCCTCTCGTCTTGCGACGACCGTCGCGACGGCGCCTTCGGCGATTACGTTGCCCCCGTGCAACGCTCTTTTTTCGACCCTGTCTCCCGGAAAAACGCGAATCTTCGCAACCGCGCGCCATCCATTTCCATCAATTAAGTCGACGTGAACTCATCAAACGCCCGAATATTAAATTTGCAGTTCGCATGATCGCGCAGTTCTTCACGCTCGCGCGTACGAAACTTTTTTCAGCGCGAAAGACTCTCTTTTGCGTCATCGCGCGATTATCTGGCGCGCAACGAAGCGCAACGAAGAGACGAAGCGTTGACAACGGAGGCAACTAATTGTCACGGTTCCCGATACGTTTTTATCATACCGTCGAGAATTTCAACTCCGAACTCTCGGGAGTTTTATCACCACCACCACGCGCACGAAAGATTTTTGTTTGCCTTCAACGTGAACAACGGCGAGCTCGTGGCCGGGCGGGGTGTGCACGGACGGATCATTCGATGTGGCGATTAAATTGTGACGACTGAGAAAACGTGTTATCTCTGGCGGAGGAACGATTGTAGGAACTTGGTCCTTGAAATTCAGTGAAGCGAGGAGAAACTTGCGCCAGAAACGACCTTATGCAGAAAAAGCAAATGCCAGATTTAAGTGAATCATTATTCTCCAATATTCCTTGGCAAATTTTCACTTCAAGTAATATTTATTTGACGCAAGTAAGGGATCATTCAACAATTACGTCACGCTAAATTTGGACACGTCACAAAATATTCGCCTCTCTTCCGATATTAAGTGAAATTATACTCCCTCCCTCGACACGCAGAATAGAAAAAATAGCTTGGAACCGTATTGTGGGTAATAATTATTAGACTGCGAGCTATCTCTTTCTAAAATGCAAATAACTTTTAGGCATATAATATCAAATTATTTTATTTTGTAATTTTGTCTAGTAAAGTTTATGTTTGTAAAAGAGTAAATATTTGAAAATCAACATCTTGAATATTAACACGAAACCATGTCGAAAGTTAACAATGTGTCACGAATGCAAACAAAGTGGGAAAACGTGGTAAACACGCTCATCTATATTTATAAGTTATGCCATTTAATGTGACGTTCTGTGACCTTTATTCCCCTCTCCCATCATCACGATCGTTACATAAGCTGATAGATCCTCTAGTGCGTAATTGTTGAATAGCCACTTAAAAATATTTCCCAGTCAAATTATCCAAGTATAAAATATTTACTTGATCCAAGTAAAAAATCGTTAAGGAATATTGGAGTGATTATTTGTTTGAATCTAGCACTTTTTTCTCCGTATTCGTTTCTTTCGGATACATGGAATAATTCACACATTATACATATATGTAATAAATATTTATATACTCTCAGAGATATATACGTGTGTGTGTGTGTGTGTGCGTGTGCGTGTGTTGTGTCGTGTATTTTGTATGCGTTTTGCCGCGTCAGCTTTCTTTCGAAACGCTTTTCAGGAGGAAAAACTCAGCGCGATAGCGACACGAGTCGATGAGATCCTAGCAAACACACGATGACATGTTAATAACGTCTGAGAAGTCATCAATACATCATCATGTTTGCTGGGGTCACATTGAATCGATGAGACGCCCGTTCCGAGCGAATACTTGTCTTTCAAACTTTACGTTTTTCTCACGATCGATAATTGCAATGGTAATAGAAGGAAACGTCCAAGGTCGCCGTTGTTCATGAAGAAGCAAGGGACAGTGTCGAGAAAGATCGGAATCAAATTTGTCCCCCCCCCCCCCCCCCCCCCCC